CCAAACCCATGAAAGAGCGTACATCCGTCGTGCAACGGGGTTCCGGCCAATCCACGATGGCTTGGATCTTGTCCGCTAAGGGACGAATGCCTTTCGGCGTGACAAAATGACCCAAGTACTCAAGCTCTTGCTTGGCGAATTCGCACTTGTCGAGATTCCTTTTGTACTTGGCTAGTCGCAAACGATTCAGAACAATGCGAAGGTGTACGATGTGCTCGTCCAACGTCCTACTATAAACCAAGATGTCATCAAGGTAGATGAGGACGTTGCGATCGAGCGAGTTGCGAAACTCAGTCGTCATCGCTGCTTGAAAAGTTGCGGGGGCATTGGTGAGGCCAAAAAGCAGGACAACCCACTCAAAATGCCCATACCGCGTCTTGAATGCGGTCTTGTATCGGTCTTGAGGCTGGATTTCAATCTGGTGGTAACTTGACTTCAAGTCCAACTTCGAGAAGTACGTCGCGGATTCTAACCGCTCAAGGAGATCATCAATCCGAGGGAGAGGGCCGGCGTTCTTTACGGTTTGTGCGTTAAGTTTCTGATAGTCGATGCATAACCGTAAATCTTTGTTCTTCTTCCGGACGAAGAGAACAGGTGCACCGTATGACGAGCAACTAGGGCGAATCCAGCCCTTGTCGAGAAGATCTTCGCGCTGTGCGCGAAGCACCTTGAGTTCCTCTTCGCTCATGCAGTAGATACATCCACGCGGAGGGATGGCGCCAGCCTCGAGGTTGATCCCGTGACGTATGGGCCGATCCGGAACCATTCCGGTGGGAGCCTCGAAGACGTCTCTATACTCGTCCAAGAGGTAAGAAATGCGTGGGTCCGGCGGTGACGTGGATGGTCCGTCCGGCGAGGGAAGAGCATGCAAGAATACAAGGCCCATCTCCTCGACGTCATTCCGAGCAATGGCGTCGCGAATTTTTGCAACGGAAACCACGTGACAAGCAATCGAAGTATGAGGGGCCGCGACCGTACATGGGACTAACACTCCGTTCCGATCACGGATGTGAACGGTTCGGTCATGGAAGTTCACCGGATGATCGGCGCTACACAACCAAGACATGCCTAGAATCATGTCGAACTTGGTGTCGAGGATGTCAAAAGACATCGGCTCGCACGCAAGTTGCGCAAAGTAGACCGGAACGCCGTCAACGCATCGGTCAATTGACTTTTGCGTGCGGCCGTCCGCGAGTGTAACTTGCGTACGTTGCGTCTTCCTTCGCACGCGCGGGCCAAGACCTGCACGGGCCATAAAGGCTTGGCTCATAAAGTTGCGAGACGCTCCACAATCAATCAAGGCACTACAGGTTGCCTTTCCGATTTGAATGCGGATATAGAGCAAAGGTGCGTCGGTTTCGGCGTACCTTTGGGTGGCGTACTCGCGGTCAATCTTCGCAAGATAGGAGCGGAGATCGACAACCGCTACCCCGTCGTCTGTCAACGGAGCTGGTACTGTAGTGTGCAAATAGGAGCGTAGAGTTGCTGTCAAGGCGTTGCAATGCGGCCTTGGCAAGGTTCCGGTCGGAGGTAGAGGCATCCAAGCGAAGTCCTCTCTCGTGAGCGGGTCAAGCTCCTCAAGTCTTGACCACGCCGTCGAGTCCTCGGAAATCAGTGGCGAACTATCCGAATCACTTGCCGATGGTGTACAGGCTGCACATACGCTAGCTAAGTGCACGTGGCTTGGCTGGTCTAATGGTGGTACCAGCTGGGCGGCATAATCCTCGTACGTGGCACGAGAATCAGCGACTAACGCATGCTCCCCGGTAGTGACATCGATTGCTAGCAAGGCAACCGGGTCCGGCGGAGTGAGGAGAGACGTCGCCCCTCTCCTTGCGTAACTCAGTTTCCCGAGTTTGCTGGACGGGGTACGCGTGCCTTGCCCTTTTCGGGGCATTGTGCGGTCACATGAGTGACGCCATTGCACTAGAGGCAGTATCCGTATTTTTAACGAAGGTCATAGACATCCTTGGTTATCTTGTAAGCCGTCCATGGCTGCTGCCCAGTTCCCGTCGATGCTGTCTCTTGTGTCGCCTTGTTCTTCCGAACTCTCTTCGGACGCTTCGGCGGGAGCGCTGCTACAATTTCTCCATCACTCGAGGACACTGCTGAAGCGTGGAGATCGTCTGTTTCTTCAGAAATCACGGCATTGTTATATGTCGGACGTTGATAGCCCTGCTTAGCCACATAATGCGGCTGGGACTGTCGTTCGTTTGCGGCTTTGTCATCAGTTTGGATGACTAAGTTCGCACGATCCAGAATGGCCTGGAACGTGTCATAGTCGTACTCGTTGCCGAGTGCCGACGGCAGTCCCGCGCACGATCGCGAGAAGAACTCGGATCGTTGATTTGGAAAACTCAAATCGAATCCTGGCGTGGTCACTATCTTCTGCCACTTGGTTGTCCAGTCTCGAGTTGGCATATTTCCTTGAGAGCAGGTGTACACCTCGTTCATGGCCGCCTTCACGACGTTGCGGACCATGAACCGGGTGAACCAGAGCTTCTCGAATTCTTTCCATGTGATGTGCGTGTGGAGTTCGACGATGGTGCATTTGTTGGTAGCCGCCAGATGGTTCATCCAAGCCTGCGCTCCTCCAATTAGTTGCAAGTAGAGTGCCTTCATCATGTCGTCTGCCGGGACAGTGCGGCATGACGCTTCCGTAAGGAAACGTTGCCACCATGTCAAGGCATCCGACTTGTTGTAGTCGTCGAACTTGCTGATGTCGAAGTGCGGCATCTTGTAAGTCTTTGTAGCGGCGTCTGGTCTCGTCTGCAGCTTGGTGATGTCCGTCTTGATGGCGGCCACCGTGCTGCTGATCGTGTCCGGCCCATTGAAAACACCTATGTCGCCGATGATGGTGACGACGTGATCGATGCGCTCATTGAGTTGCTTCGTCGCGTCTGTCGTGCAGCTTGGCCCTGCTGAGGCGTTAGCCTCAATGCTATTGATGCGTGCGAGAGCGGAGTTCAACAGCTGATGCTGTTGCTGCTGCTGCGTTGCTTCAGCGCGGATGGCAGTTGTTAAAACAACAATGTCTTGCTGGTACTTTTGTCGCTGTTGTCGTTTCGTGCGCAAATGTGTCTGCAGCAGTGTGTTATTCCACATGATGCCTCTCATCATGCCCAGCATCAAGTTAGCCAGGTGAGTCCTCTCTGCCTCCGCCGGTGTCGGATCTGCCTGCGCGTCCGAAGGCACAAAGATCATGCCTTGGAGGAACGTTGTCCACTGACTTTCACTATGAATCAGGGACTCCGTACTGGCGGCATTTCGTTGGTCTCGTGCCGCTGCGTCAGCCTCAACAGTCTGCTAAGCTTGGGCTGCCGCCTCGTTGGCCAGCCGCTGACGTTCTGCCTCTGCTGCCTCCTGATGAGCCTTGGCGGCAGCTACGGCATCTGTAAATACCTGTAGCCGCCCAAAATAGTCAGCCAACGGCTCACAGGCCCTTCGGACCGGGCATGCGGGAAGAACTTCGGTGGTGTCCGGTACCGTCAATGTTGTACTCGATGCCGCTGGAGTCATCCGCCTGCTGAGTCTCTGTTGTTGAGCCTTGGTTCGTGGAGGTACCGTAGGTCGAGCACGAACTGCGAGCCTGGCACTGCGCCGTGGCAGTCCCCCGGTATCCTGTTCCATCGACATCAGTGTGTACTGATGCGGTACTTGAGAGGTCYCGGTGGTCACAGAATACGGGGAGGGTAGGGAKAGTGGGAACAGGGGTAGAACAATCAAACAATACGCATACAGTCCCCTGTCCCACTGATGGACTGTAGACACCTAATCAAACAGAGAAATAAATTTTCCGTAAACCATTCAAAAATTCGTAATAAGGAATTAATAACGATTTAATCAATAAAATTAATTAATGATAAATAACGAAATACTCCTACTGATGATCAATAAAACAATGTTTGTAATAAAGATAACCAATAATCATTATTTGCAATAAAGATAATCAATAAACAATAATTGCAATCATGATACTAAACGAATTTGAAAGGTCTTATCATAAGGTCTCTTTGAGATCACTTTGAGTCCGGGAGTTCACCGTTAATGAGTGAACTACCTGGAAGTTGCAGTTTGAGGGTCAGATATGGCTTAGTGTGCTAAAAAAAAAATTTCGGAAAATTTCTGAAGAAAAAACTCTCGAATTTTCAAAAACGTGAATTTTTGGGAATTTCCACCGTCAAAATCCGATTTTTAAAGGCCTAAACCTGTTTTCGAAATTTCTCAAACAAGGGAAACGAAAAAAAAAATCGCGAAAATTTCGGTCCCAACCCTAATTTTCCACGTTTCCACGAAATTTCCGGATTTACGGTCCCAAAAAGTTCGAATTTCCCAAAGTTCATCTAAAACCCAAAGATTTTCGTAACCCTAATTTTCAATACTGAAAGACAACGGATATCCAAAAGAAAACGAAATATAGGATTTACAACAAAATGTCGAAAAACGGAATGCTGAATGGAAATCAGAAACGCCGAATTTCAATATGATACTGATTCAACCCTAATTCGTGTAAAATCATAAATCCGAAACTTAATCAATTATCGGATTGGTATCACTCAATCGGAACTCAAATAGACACCATACCGGAAGAAAACAAAAATCTGAATTATAAGTCCGAATACCGAATTGAACGGAAATGCCGAACTAAATAGAATACCGAAAAAGAAAAAAAAAAATTGCAACTTTGAACTTAATAGTAGTACAGCGCTGATTTGAAAGATTGAGAAGGCAATTTAATTCCTATTCAGACTTACCCTTATGAGCAGATCCGTTATATGGTCTGCTCCGATACCAAAACTGTCACATACTCCAATGAGTATGGGCAGAACCAAGGATCAACCAATGTAGGATGAGCATATATGCAACATAAGTCTGATGAATGGACTGACTCACATAGACTGACTCACATAGCATCACTCCACACACATACAATCGTGAGGTGGTGGGTCAGAGCCATACATAGAAGATGGTCAGCCCCGTACACACATACACAGATGAATGGGGGAGGAGAGACGAAGAGGTGGGGGGAGGTAGACAGCACCGAAAGTCACCGAGATAGAATCTGATAGGTCACCGATATGGTAATCCAAAATGTCATCCAACAAGATCAAAATGTCGAGGACCATAGGTCACCAATGTCGGGGATACAGAGTCCAAATGTAACCGGTGTTTGAACTGTGATGTCGCCAAGTATCAACCCCAACGATCTCCAAGTCTCCAATCCGGTAAGTACCACAGTCTCATACCACCGAGGTCCAACACTGATCTCTGTCCAACTAGTATAGGTCTCCGGTCTGAAGAAGAAGAAGAAGAAGAAGAAGGAAAAGAAGAAGAAGAAGAAGAAGAAGAAGAAGAACAGAGAGACAGAGCGAGAGAGAGAGAGAGAGAGGGAGACGAAGGTGAGGAGGAGGGAAAGCGACCGAGGAGGGAGGAAGAGATCCCCGCCTCCTGGTACCTGCAGCTGCTGCTGCTGAGGCGGCGATGGCCCCCGTGCTGCTGCTGCTGTCCTCGCTCACTGTTGCCGCTGCGCTAGGTCGCTCTGCTGCTGCCCTTCGCTCCTGCGCTAGGAATAGCGCTCAAACGGCGCTCTGGCGCCGACCTTACCGCACCGCGTAGAATACCGGTGGGTCGATCCTGGACTGAGGCTGGACCGGTTCTATATACCGGTGAGGCAGAGGCCAGCCTCACTGCTGCGAGGCCTGGCCAACCGGCGGGCGGCAGCCTCAAGAGCGCCGCCAGGCCCAAACGGTAATGTGGTTTGGGCCTGCCCGTCGGGTCTAGTCCAAGGTGAGACCTTTATGGCCTGTAGTACCCCCAAGGTCGGGCCTTTAGGCCCTGATGTGTCCCTCTAGCCCTAAGTCGGGTCAGGTAGGACCCGTGCGGCGTCGAAGATGTAACATCTACCTTATGGTGGGGAAAGCTACGATCTAACAACCAATCAAAAAAGCACACAGTTTTGACATTTTTCGAAAAAAAAAAGGTGGGGGGAGATTCGCAAATCTCCCCCCACCTTGTTTCGCCACCAATCATCTACCCTATGGTGGTGAAAGCTACGATCTACCAACCAATCAAAAAAGTACACATTTTCGACATTTTTCGGGAAAAAAAAGGTGGGGCAAGATTCGTGAATCTCCCCCCACCTTGTTTCCCCACCAATCATCTACCAGCTAATGGTGGGGAAAACTACGATCTACCAACCAATCAAAAAAGTACACATTTTCGATATTTTTGGAAAAAAAAAGATGGGGGGGGATTCGCGAAT